ACTCTGATTGTTTGGGATAGTGTCATAACTATTGCATTTTCAGGTATTCTTGAATATCTTACAGTAAAAACAAAAACAAGTAATAAGAAAAATGAATGCTTTTAGACTGGAGGTCTTTATTAGGCTAGTTCAAAAAATAAAAAACAGACTCATTAACTAAATTAATAACTATAAACTAGCATCCTTTATTAGAAATTTCAGAAACGACAGTGTGTGTAGTCACCTTAGGCTGGAGTCTTAAAAATACAGACCCAGCCCTGGCCAGTTTGGCTCAGCAGTTAGAGCGTCGGCCTGCGGTCCTGAGAGACCCGGGTTCGGTTCCCGCTAAGGGCATGTACCTCGGTTGCAGTTTGTCCCCGGCCCTGGTTGGTCGTGCGGGTGGCAGCCACTCGATGTGTCCCTTCACATCGATGTTTCTCACTCTCTCTCCCTTCCTCTCTCTCCCTCCCATTCTATCTGTATAAAAAATGGAAAAATATCCTCGGGTGAGGATAAAAAAAAAAAAAAAAAAAAAATACAGACCCAAATGGTTTATTACTCCCTCATCCTTCACAGACCAGGGCAATCCATCTAAAAAAACAATCTTAAATTTGGGGATGTTTACAGCTAAGAAATCTTTGATCTAACTTTATTCAAATTAGTCAGGCATAGAGATTAACATGACGCTTGTATGATTACAGTAGCATTAAACTGGGTTTCCTAGTCTTTTTAGCCCACCCCTATTAGTAAGTGGCTTTGTGGCATTTTCCAAGGGAAAGAAAAATGAGGATTATTATTGGGGAAATAAATACAACTTGAGACCATCCCCCTGAATAGTAGTTGAGATCAACCAAGACCTTGACCCTTAAGAGAAAGAGTTAGAGTTCATGAGTGTAGCTTTGAGGCTATGAAGGGTCCAGTGGGCACTATGTCCACAAATAAACTGCACCTGCAGGCTAATCTATAACAAGAGAAATAGAACTAGTATCTTTTATCACATGAATTAAAGAGGTACATGCAACTTGGAGTTCTTAACCCACAGGCAATAATTCCATAGTAAGCCTATAGGTTTTCAATCACTAAATCACTACATGATGTTGCTAATCAAATGATGAAACACGGCCTTAAAAATATAACTCTAGCTTGTTACTAGTAGTTTCTGATTTATTGGTGCTCTCTCACAAAAGAAGTAAATTACATGCTTCCTTCACATATAAAGACACCTAGCCTCCAGCAACAATTTATGCTTGCTTTTATCCCTTTAAAATTTTGAATAAAATATAAATACAATAATTAACCTAATCGAACACTATTATTTCTATATAACGCTAACAGTATATTTAAAATCATATATCTAAAGGATATATAAGAATATAAAGTGCACAGTTATAAAATTTCATTTAATTTCAATAGTGGTAACTTTTTAGGAAAGAGCCCACTGAATAAAATTTAAATAAATAGCAACAGATAATACAGTTTTCAGTGGAGGCCATGATGTTTGGAAATATTTTATTGGCTTAAGTTATGGGATAATTAGTACTCAGCTCTAAATTAGTGGGTATATATATATATATATATGTAGTTGTTGTTAATCCTCACCTGAGGACATTTTTCCATTGATTTTTTAGAGAGAGTGGAAGGAAGGGAGGGAGGAAGGGAGGGGAAAAGAGAGAGAGAGAGAGACAAACATTGATGTGAGAGAGATACATCGACTAGTTGCCTCCTACACAACCCTGACCAGGGCCGGAAAGCAAACCTGCAACCTAAGTATATGCCATTGCCCTTGACTGGGAATCGAATCCGCAACTCTTCAGTCTGTAGGCCAATGTTCTAACTACTGAGCCAAAATGGCCAGGGTGATATTTTTTCATTTAAAATAATTAAATACAAGTTAATAAAATGGATGACAAAAATAGATTTATTATTGTTAGAAAATATGATTCAATTTGAAATATGTTATGATAAATAATCATAGAATATTCTTCACCAGACTAAATATATTTTTTAAAGGGTTGTTTTTTTTTTAATTGATTTTGAGAGAGAGGAAGGGAGAGGGAGAGGGAGGGAGAGGGAGAGGGAGAGAGGAAGAGAGAGGGAGGGAGGGAGGGAGGGAGGGAGGGAGGGAGGGAGGGAGGGAGAGAAACATCAATGTGAGAGCAAAACACCAATCAGCTGCCTCCTGCATGTCCAAAACCCAGGCATATGCCCTGACCAGGAATTAAACTGGCAACCTTTTGGTGCACAAAATGATGCCCAACCAACCGAGCCACACAGGCCAGGGCAAACATATGTATTTCAAAAATACATAATTCTAAACAAAGTGGGTATAGAAGAAATATACATACCTCAACATAATAAAGCCCATATATAAGAATCCCACAGTTAACATGCTTCCTGGTGAAAAACTGAAAGCTTGTCCTCTAAAATCAGGAACAAGATAAGAATGTCCACTCTTGTCAATTTTATTCAACATAATACTGAAAGTCCTAACCAGAGCAATTAGGAAAAAAACAGAAAGAAAAGAATAAAGAATAAAAGGCATCCAAATTAGAAAAAGTAAAAGTGCTTCTATTTGTAGATTATATATAATATATAGAAAAACCTTGAAGACTCCACAAAAAGAACAGAAACTAAAACTGTTAGAATAAACAAATTCAGTATATAGGGTGGTCAAAAGTAGGTTTACAGTTCATATGGAAATAACAAAATAATGAATAAATAATAATACAAGAATAAACTCTGTGTTTTGCATACTCACAAGTGTAAACCTACTCTTGCCCCACCCGGTAGTTTCAGGATACAAAGTCAATATACGAAAATCAGTTGCATTTCCATACACTAATTAGGAACTATCAGGAAAAGAAATTAAGAAAATAACCCCATTAACCCCACTCACAACTGCATCAAAAATAATAAAATACCTAGGAACAAATTTAACCAAGGAGATGAAAGACCTATACACTGAAAACTTTAAGACACTGATGAAAGAAATTGAAGAAGACACAAATGGAAAGATATTATGTGCTCATGAATTAAATTAATATTGAGAAAATATACATACTACCTAAAGCTATTAGATTCAGTAAAATCCCTATCAAAATTCCAATGAAATTTTTCACAGAAATAAAATAATGCTAAAATTTGAATGCAACCACAGAAGACCCTAAATAGCCACAGCAATCTTGAGAAAGAAGGCCAATGCTGAAGTCATCATACTTTCTGATTTCAAACTATATTACAAAGCAATAATAATCAAAACAGTATGATATGGACCTAAAAACAAACACATAAGTCAATGGAACAGAATAGAGGGTCAGATATGAAACCATATATATGGTCAATTATTTACAACAAGGGAGGCAAGAATTTACAATGAAGAAAGGACAGTCTCTGCAGTAAATAGTGTTAGGAAAACTAGACAGCCACCTGCAAAAGAGTGAAACTGATCTCAAAAAGATATCAGCACCCCTATGTTCTCTGCAGCATTATTGACAATAGCCAAGACAAGGAAACAATGTTTCTGTCAATGGATGAATGAATAAAGATGTGATATATAAAATGCAATATTATTCAGCCATAAGAAAAAAGAAAATCCTGCCGTTTGGGAGAACATGAATAGACCTTGAGGGAATTATGTGAAGTGAAATAAGTCAGACAAAGACAAATACTGTGTGATCTCACTTATATGTGGAATCGTAAAACAAAACAAAACACCAGACTCATATGTACAAAGAACAGAGTAGTGGTTGTCAGAGGCAGAAGGTGGGGACCAGGTGAAATGGGTGAAGGTAGTCAAAAGATACAAGCTTCCATAAGATAAATAAGTCCTGGGGATATATTGTATAGCACGGTGCTTGTAGTTAACAATACTATATTGTACATTTAAAAGGGAATAGATTTTAAAAATTCTTATCACAAGAAAAAAATTTTAAAATTGTAACTATGTGAGGTAGTAGACTTATTGTGGTGTGGTAATCATTTCAAAAAATTTGTATGTATCAAATCATTATGTTGCATACCTAATGTTCTATGTCAATTATATCTCCATAAAAAAATACAGATATATATATATATACCCACAATGTTCTAAGGTAATCTTCCCAGTTTACATTTTATACCATTGAATTTAGAGGTCCAGTCAAACTAAACTATGGTGAACTCATGTAAATTAACTGCTAGAAATATTTCCAGGACTTCAACAACAACAACAACAAAAGCCTACTTTGAATTACTTCTTTTTTATTTTTTTGCCAAAAGAAATAACTTACTTTTTGTTAATTAAAACAAAGTTGGAAATTGTTCTGTAGAAATCTTTGAATTCATAAAGATTCTCAATAGTTATTAAGGGGTTAAATAATTGAATTCTGTTACCAGGAGGCTATAAACTCAGTATTTCAAGAGGCCTGGATCATGGCTGGAAAACTCAGCCTTCCTCTTCAGACGACTCCCTCAGTAATTCATCCCCAAGAGTACACCTACAGGCTAGTTTCCCAGTGTACAATAAATGCTCCCTTACACAGGTGAGATATAGCAACCTTGCAATCTAAGCTGGCATGAAAGAAAATTCAGTCTAGACACAGGAGCCTTGAAAACTCTTAGAGTTCTCATAGAGAATTCAGAGAACTCTTCAAGAAGTTCCTTTCTCTAATTTTGAGCTCCTAACCTATCCTCATCCTCCCATCTGGCATTAGCATTCATTTATCTGATAGATTACTTCCTTAACAATGTGAAGACAAATTATTATACATGTGGCAACAGCATCCATTTTTAAGAGGATATGAACCCAATCCAACAGGAAAGTTTGAAGTATATTTGATGTAACCACTTCTAACTGAGAACCCACCAGATGCAGGTTCCTAGTGAGCTAGTGAATGCAGACACAACCAGACCATTTTTCTTGGGCCACTGTCTCTTCTGAATGATTGGGCATCTGTTCTTATTAGCTGATGTCCCTGTTGTACATTTGTAAATATTTTGCATATCATCCTTGTGTGTATGCAAACTGAAAGGGTAGCACTTACTTTCATTTTTCCACTGTATTTTGGGTCAGAAAGTGTTTCAAAGGCTGCATCTTTGCTTTTCTGCACAAAATCTGGGAATCTGGAAAATACCTGGTCACATATCCTTCTGATGAGTGTTTCCTTAAAAGGAAGAAGTAGATGAAAAAATATATATCAAATTAACATATTTAAACCTGTATAAATTGAAAATTTTTAAAGAGTTATTTTAACCTAAGTTTAAATTTTCTCACTTTGATTAAAAACTTAAGTGCATATATTTCTTTGACATGTAAATTAAAAAATGAACAAATCAGTTTCCTCTTAAATTTAATACAAAAATAACATAAAGCTATTTGGTTAAAAAATTTCATACCAAATATAATACATTTATACCAGATAGCATCACAAAGACATTTAAAACACAACCCGAACCTGCTGTTTGGAGGTGCTAGCAGGCTGCAGTAGCGAGACGTGGTTAGCCACCTTCTGAAGCACGGCAAGGTAACTGAAATACAAGGTTTTCACTGTCTCACCATGTGAATTGGTCTGCAACCGTAGAAATACAGAAAATAAAAATAAGCATGACTATGTAACTACTTGCATCACAAAATATATGTATATCAGTTACAATAGTATTTATTATTGGGTTACTATTGGCACAATACATTTTGAGAAAATGATGGTCAACTGTTTATAAAAAAAAAATGTATGAATCACTAATGTGGAATCCTGCTTTTTGGAGAACCATAATATAGTGATGTTTTTAACAAAAGAGGGGAGCATGTCCTCATTCCAGAAAGTATTCCTCCTCCTGACACAGACATACAAATGCTGCCGTAAGCAGTTCCTGGCAGTGTTGCATAGAGGTGAAAAGGGGGCAGAAAATATAGACAGAAAGTAAAAAGTACTTGTTCCTAAATAAAAATAAGTTACTTTCTATATTATAAACAGTTTCTATTAAAATACTATATCTCACATCAGAATAATGTTTTAAGCCTGTGATGAAAGAGTAAGTTTACTATTAGTGGATAATGAATGCAACTTCCTAAAAATGAAATGAAATTTCAAGACGAAAGTAGGATATTCCCCAATAAAAGCTGAGATAGAGGATATCAAATAGGAGCTACTTTCAAAAAAATATTGTGTTGAAATATATTTGAATATTGTATTTTGCTGTGATTACTACTTGATACTGTATAGTATTTTTTGAAACAATCCCTTTTTACTAACTTATGACTTCTAAAGTAAGGAACTGTCTGAGGAAAACTGCTACTTACATTAGAGTACGATGTAATCAAAATAAGATAGTAAAGATATGAAACTGAAGTACTTGCCTTATAACAACAGTTTCTCCTTTTCCGACCACTGCCACAGGTACAAGGCTTAGAAGATTGAAGTATCAAAGTCACATCTTCTGTTTCTAATACTGTTTGATAAACAGCTTTCTGAAAATCTGTCAGAGAACAGTACACCATCTGCCACGAAAAACACAAGGTAAGTATTAGTATTTTTTCTATAGCAATAATAATCACAATGCACATCAAATTTCATATATTGCAATAGTGAAAACTGCACATAAACGAAGTTATTTTTCTTCTAGATACATGATTATGACAATTTCTCCCAATTCTCCTATATTCTTTGCCAGCACCCTACCCTAAATTATACAAATTATAACTTTATGTTCAAATAAATTTCCAAGTGTTTTTTAATTTAAAAAAATCAAAATTTGAAAAAAACTAACTTGTGAGACTTCCTTATATAGGGTGGGGCAAAAGTAGGTTTAGTGTTTATTCTTATTATTTATTAATTATTGTATTATTTTCCTTATGAACAACTGTAAGCCTACTTTTGCCCCACCCTGTATAGTTCTCAACATTGTGAGTGTTTTCAGGGTTCCACATTATTAGTCTATCATGCAAATAAATGATTAAAATTTAGGTCAATAAAAAAACTAGGTAAGAAACAATGGATAATTTTAGAACAATGTATGAATTATGATTACCAAATTATTTGGAAAAGAAAAATATCAAAAGCTTTTTATTACTGAAAACAAGCTAAAGTATTTGTATTTAATATCTTCCTATAAATTCCTAATATAGTAATAATAAGAGTTAAGTAAATACCCATAAAAGCAACTGTAACTTGTTATTTTGTGCCCAAATTCAAAAGGAGAAAAAAATATGATAAAATAATGCCATAAATTATGGGGGATACAATTTACCTTACATTTCCAGTAGCACTGGAAATTGGTAAAATTCTTCTAGCTACAGCTGTATGTAACTAGGGTCATAAAACTAAACACACCCATAACAGGACTTTGAGCAATGTGAACAAGAGGAAAAAGCCATTTATTTATATGTGTATATCACTACAACAGAATATCACTGTCAAAAAAATGTGCATCCAAGCAAATATAGGGATGTCCATATAAAACAGTGCTAGATTAAAAAAAACTGTACATAAAATATTAGCTATATCTTGATTCTACTTGAACACAAAAGTAAATATAAGAATAAAAAGAGACTCTAGAAGACGGGTCAATGATTAAGGTATGGAGGGAATTTTGAGTTATTATTATTTTCCCCCCAGCTTTATGAGATATAGTTGGCATATAACACTGTGTAATTTTAAGGTGTACAATGTAATAATTTCATACATATTAATATTACAAAATTATTACTGTAACAATAAGGTTAGTTAACACATCCATGACTTCACATAATGACATTTTAAATTTTTTGTGATGAGAACATTTAAAATCTATTCTCTTAGAAACTTTCAAGTATAAACTATTAAACTATTAACAATAGTAACAATAGTCACTATGTTATGCATTCAATGCCCAGAACTTATTCATCTTTTGGAAGTCTGTACCCTTTGACTGCCATCTCTCCATTCCCCTGCCCCTTACCCCTGGCAACCATCATTCTACTCTGTTTCTATTCCTGTGGCTTTTTAAAATAAATATTCTACATGTAAGTGATATCACAGAAGATTTTCTTTGAATTATTTCACTTAGCATAATGCTTTCAAGGTCCATCCATGTTTTCACAAATGACAGATTTCCTTATTTTTATGGCTGAATACTATTCCATTACATATCTCTATCTACATATCACAAACTCTCTATCCATTCATCTGTCAACAGACACTTAGGTTGTTTCCATATCTTCACTACAATGAATACTGCAGCAATGAACATGGGAGTTCAGATATCTCTCTGAGAGTACTTTAATTTCCTTTGTATATACCCAGGAGGGGGACTGCTGGACCATATGGCAGCTCTAGTTTTAATATTTGGGATAAATGCCATACTATTTTCCATAGTAGCTCCACCAATTTACATTCCCACAAACAGTGTACCCAGGGTTCCCTTTTCTTCGTATCATCACCAACACTTGTTATCACTTATCTTTTTGATAACTGCCTTTCTAACAGGCATGAGATAAAGTTGAATTGTGGTTTGCTTTGCATTTCCCTGATGATTAGTGATCTTACACATCTTTTCATGTACCTGTTAGCGATCTGTATGTCTTCTTTGGAAAAATGTCTATTCAGATCAGATCACTGTTCAATTAGATTATTATTATTGCAATTGAGTTGTTCAAACATTTGGATATTAACCTCTTATCAGATAAATGGTTTGCAAATATTTTCTCTCATTCTATAGGTTGCCTCTTCATTCTTATTGTTTCTTTTGCTGTACAGATGGTTTTTACTTTGATAGTTTCACTTGTTTATTTTTGCTTTTGTTGTGTGTGCTTTGGTGTCATATCCAAACATCACCTCCGAGACCAATGTCAAAGAACTCTTTTCATATGTTTTCTTCTAGAAGTTATATGGTTTCAGGACTTATATTTAAGTTTTTAATCCATTTCAAGTTAACTTTTTGTGAGTGGTGTAAAATAGGAGTCTAATTTCATTCTATCATATGTGAATTTCCAATTTTCCCAGCATCATTTATTAAAAGAATACCTCTTCTCCATTACATATTCTTGGTTCCCTTGTCAAACATTAGTTGACTGTATATGCATGGGTTTATTTCTGGGCTCTGTATTCTATTCCATTGGTCTATGTTTTCATTTTTATGCCAGTACCACACTGTTTCAATTACTGTAGCTTTGTAGTTTGAAATCATTTTAACAATATAAATGCTTTCAATCTACAAACATGAGATATATTTCCATTTATTTGCGTCTCCTTCAATTTCTTTCATCAATTTCTTATAGTTTTTAGTGTACAGGTCTTTCACCTCCTTGGTTAAATTTATTCCTAGGTATTTTATTGTTGAGTTGGTATTATTAAAACATGTAGTAACATTTGCTGAACACTTCTTACATGTCACACATTTTAGAGCAACCATATATGTCAGGCACTGTTATCATCATTCCCACGTATCATCAGTCACCAAGGTTTGAGAGACTTAGCAAACTGCTCAAAGTCATAAAACTCCTAAGTTGGGGAGTGAGAATTCGAACCTGTAATATTTCTGAGCCCAATCTCTAAACTTTTGTGCAACTTTCTTTTCAAATTTTTCGGTTTGTTGTTCCTACTAGATAGACAACTAAATAATACACATTAAATTGCACAAAACATTTTTAAAAGTTGGAGGTTCATGAAGTTTTCCGATTAAATAATATTTGCTTTAGATCAAAAAATCAAATGTTATATCAATTTCCCCAATTATATCAATTGCAGATCAGTATCATATTTTCTTTTGAAATCTATCTTTTTAAAGTAATATTCAATAGGATAAGATTGGGGGGTATTTGATAGGATTGCACTTATTTGGGACATTAGTTAGATTTAGTTCATTGTAATTTATAGAACCTTTATTCCATTGCCTGAGCTAGAAGAACCACATAATTAAAAACTGTAAAAGAGAAATATTATATTTTAAAAATTCCTCCTAAATTCAACTCCTCAACTTTTCTTAAACAATTAATACAATTTAATTGTACTTTTCCTACAAAGTTGTAAAATTAGGTTAGTTGTGTCACTGAAAATAGCATTCTATAAGAAACAAATCTATAATAACAAACTTTGGTTCAGTAGCTAGAGATAAGGTACAAACAAATATATTGAATTGTAGATAGTAGGCAATGTAGGAATTACAAAATATGAACAGAAAACACACAGAGAGAAGCATTTCTTTCTTCGTTGAGGAAAACTTACATAAAAAGCATTTTTGTTCTAAAATAAGAGAAATGAGTTTAATGAATACTAACAATACACCTGTTAGCTGACAGGTTAGTAAAGTTAGTAAGGAAAAAATAATTGGGCTCAATTAATGTTTCCTGAAATTCTGCATAATGTGATTTTTTTTTCATACTGAGTAAAAGGCAAAAACTGTATTTAAAAGACATCACAAGCCCTGGCCAGTTTGGCTCAGCGGTTAGAGCGTCGGCCTGCGGTCAGGAGAGACCCGGGTTCGGTTCCCGCTAAGGGCACGTACTTCGGTTGCAGTTTGTCCCCGGCCCTGGTTGGTCGTGCGGGTGGCAGCCACTCGATGTGTCCCTTCACGTCGATGTTTCTCTCTCTCTCTCTCCCTTCCCCTCTCTCCCTCCCACTCTACCTGTACAAAAAATGGAAAAATATCCTCGGGTGAGGATAAAAAAAAAAAAAGACATCACAAGAGATAGATTTCCTCTTTAAAATATTTTTTTCAGAAAAAAATAAAACACAATTAGAAATTAATAATGTATACAAATGCGGTTCTCACCCGGTCTTCCTTCTTAGGTAACTGATCCTTGATGAGGGTCTTCGTGCGCCTGAGAAACCACCCCGACATCTTTCTCGCAAGCCTCTGCATGGCCTTCCGGCCAGTAGCCAGTTCTCTTTTTGTTGCCGTGTGTCTCTGACCATGTTCTACCGGGTCAGAAAACTGCTTCTTGAAGTGGGACCTGCTACCTAAAAGTCCTGGCACAGCCCTTCATAAAGGCAATAAGAAAAATATTAGGGCTTTATTAAATTATCGGAAAGGAAAAACATTGGCTTCTTTTTGCTTCTAAGAAATAGACTAAGTCACTTGTTTGTAAATGACAGCAAAAGCAAGTAAACGTAACCTTCTTTCTTTATGACAGTTTTTCAGTAAATAACTATCAGATGATGATAAAATTGGTAACTTGGTTCAGATATTTACTTCAGGGACCAAAAATAGGTTTTCATGGGACCCTCTATGCTGTATACTCTGTTTGGCATCAAACACTTTTGTAAACAGACAAATGACTGTGTGTGTGTTTCCCCCCAGAAACTAATAATTAGTAAACAAGGTAATATTAAGTCAAAGGCGTGTTAAGTAATCTTCCAGAGAGAAAGCGCTCCCTCACCAGTCCATGACACACCACAGCTCGTCCATGCTGTTCTGCAGAACGGTTCCGGTGAGGCCGATGCGGACGCGGCACTCCAGAGCTTTCAGGGCTCCCGTCACTCTGGCCTTGGGATTCTTGATCCTGTGCGCTTCGTCCACGACGACAGCTGACCACTCCAAACTGGTAAGTGACCAGAAAAGGGGCGGGTTCTTAGCCTGTCATTTTTAGAAAGCAGCTTTCTCTATCGAATTTTTGGAGTTGTTTCCCGTCTTTATTTTGATGATTTCATAGCAATCTCACCTAGTTAGTTAAATGGTCACAGGTTTGGACAACCCGTGAAAACAAAATGTATATGGAGACAAAAGGGTACAGAGATTCTGTGTGATGATGGTGGAATAAAAAAACTAATTTAAACATCACTAAAATGACAAAATAAATTAAAGAAATAAACAAGAGAAATATATATAAAATATGGGAGGCAATACTTGCGATGTTAAATCTGAATGTAAAAATCAATATAAACTCATGATTTTAAAATTGCATTACATAGCTCTATCTGCTAAAAAGGTCCAGAACCGATTGCGACCCCAGTAGCAATGAGCACCCTCAGCAGTCCATCCACTGACAGCCCTGTGGAAAAACAGTTGATTTCAAGTGTGCAGCAGGAGAAATACTGAAGAGCCAGAAAGCACAGGTGCCCAGAGACAAATGCGGACATGTCCGAAAGACACAGGAAATTTAAGTACAACTGAGAATGACTATGACTGAGTATAAAACTCTGAATAAGTAAAAACCCAGGAAGTTCTATGAAAGAAAAATAATTTAGACTCTTAACTCTGAGGGGAAGCAGTTTTGCCACCAAAGTATGCCTTTAGAATATGGACTTTAAACTGGTTATTAAGAAAGGAAATACTCAGAAAGAACCTTTGACCCTTCCCTTGCCTGCCTACAGGAATTCATACAGAAAAACCTGCTTCAGGAAGGGGACCTCAGCATATTCCCCTTAGCTTAACAACCTTAGCACACCTGAATCAAGTGTGACAAACGGTGGACCCAACAAAACTCTGTTCACCAAATTCCTCTGTGTCCCCTTGTTTCTGGGTGGCCCCGACAAGATATGTTTACCACTTGTTTGCTATTTCCTGTCCACCTGTAAATTGCCTACTTTCCCTTCGAAATCTCAGACCTCACCCCTCCTTCTCCTTTGTGCAAAATGGCATATAAACCTCAAATGCCCGGTGTGTCTTCAGGTCTCATATCTGTGGCACCCCCAAATGTACATCCACAATAAATGTTGGACATTTTCTCTTATTAATCTGTCTCATAGCAATTTGATTTTTAGTCCTGGTAGAACTTAGACGGTGGGAGGGAAGGTATTTTTGCACCCCTACATCTCACACCATACACAAAAATTATCTCAAAATAGATCACAGAATGAAATATAAGAGCTAAAACTATTAAATGTAAGAAAAAATTCATGACTCTGAGTTGGGCATACATTTCTTAGATATGACACCAAAAAATTTTGATAAGTTGGACTTCATCAAAGTAAAAACTTTTGCTCTTGGTCTTAAAAACATCAGTAAGAAAATTACAAGCCATACTACAGGGGGGGAGAAAATAGTTGCAAATCATAAACTGGTAAAGAAGCTGGTGTGGCCCAGTGGTTAGAGTGTCGGCCTGTGGACTGAAGAGTTGTGGGTTTGATTCCCAGTCAAGGGCACGTACCTCAGTTGCAGGTTCGATCCCTGGCCCTGGTTGGGGTTGTCTGGGGGCAACCAATCAATGTGTCTCTCTCACATGGATGTTTTTCTTTCTTTCTCTCTCTCTCCACCCTCCAACGCCCACTCTAGCTGAAAAAAAATCAATGGAAAACATCCTTGGGTGAGGATTCGTAAAAAAAACAAAACTATTATAATTTAACAAAAGCCAAAACAATCCATTTTAAAAGCTGGGTAACGATTTTAATAGGTATTCCACCAACAAATATATACAAATGGCAAATAAGCACATGAAAAGCTCTCAACATCATTGGTCATTAGGGAAAAGCAAATTGAAACCATAAGATACCACTACAAACCCATTAGAATGGCTATAATAAAAAAAAAGAATGACAATATCAATCTTTTGTTGACAAGGATACAGGGAAACTGGAACATTGGGTCTCAATATGTATATGTATTTTTGCTACTCTACATTCTCAACAGACTCACCCAATTAAAATCATTCATGAAAATGACTGCCTTAGTCTTGAGGTACCATATGGACAAAAGGTTGCAGATGAGATTTAGAATAAGTCTTACCTTTCTTTAACAGACACTATTTGCAGAAGAAATAGGAGAAATTGAGTAAGAAATTGAAAAATCTAATGCAGCTTTTTCTTTCTTTTTAAAAATATGTTTTATTGATTTTTAGACAGAGAAGAAGGAGGGGAGAGAGAGAGAGAGAGAGAAACATCAGTAGGCCACCTCCTGCATGCCCCCTAACTGGGCATTGAGCCTGAAACCCTGGCAGGCGCCCTGACCAGGAATCAAACTGGTGACCTCTTGGTGCATGGAACGATGCTCAATCCAGTGAACACCAGTGGCTGGGTGCTTTTCCCTTCTTGAAAAATAAGTTAATTATTATTGACTGCCAATATCAATAATACTGACATGAAATTAAATCATGCTAAAGAATATTTAGAGCTTTTAAAAAATTACAATATAAAGGGATAAATACAACTGAGGTAAGCAAAACAGTAATGCAATCATTCCCATAAGTGCCATTACCTGTTCAGTTCATCCAGACATAAGCGTAGTGTGTCGTAAGTTGTTAGAGCGATTTCACATTTCCTCTGCTTTACTCGAATCAGTTCATTGTCTTTTTTGTTACCATGTAAAACAGTGACTCTGAAATAGCCCCAGGTATCCAACTCATCCTTCCAGTTGTAGAGGACAGAAAGAGGAGCAACTATTAAGAACATCTAAAATAAGAAGAAAATTTCTGATGTATTTTCTAAAAATTAAAAAGAGCCCCAAAGTGAAATACAGAATATCAACAGCCTTATTCTTTGACTCTTGACACTGCAGTTAATAATAATAAATACAACTGAGAAACTGGATATATTTGGAGGTAGAACATTAAAAAAAAAAGTTTACTATTTACTTAGCTTTCTATTAAGACAAAATAGATACTTAACCTTGTCCAAAGAAAAAGGTATTTTTTATCCCCCCCCCCAAAAAAAAAGGGAATAGAAAGACAAAAGAGAAATAATTTTAAAAAATAGAGAAACGATATAATCAAGATCCCAATAACTTCAAGGGCCAAGCAGATAATATAAGTATGCAAAGCAGTCCAGGTATTTTTCTTGAAATATATGGTCTCCTGCAGCTGTTTCCTTTTCAATCCCCTAATCCATTTCCTCTCCTCCTCTCTCAGATACTGTCAGCTGAAGACCTGGGAAATTCACTGGAAAATCAAAGCAATTAGAAGAAAACCTTGGAACTTCCAGTCAAGCTGGCAGAACAGGTAGATATTATGCTCACCTCCTCCCGTGACCATATCAAAATTACAACTAAACTACAGAAAACCACCATCAAGAACTGCCTAAATGAAATCCTATAACTAAGGATATGCCAAAGAAACCATGTTGTGACTAGCAGGAAGGGCAGAGATGCTGAATGGGTTGGTCCCACACCCACGTGCACTTGTTAAAAATCAGGAGGAATATCTGGGTTGAGGAGGTCCCCACTGGGGAGCAAGGGGTCCTAGCTCCACACCAGTCTCCCTAGTCCAGGGTTCCAGTTCCAGGAAGAGAAGTCCCCATAACTTCTGGCTGTGACAACCAGTGAAGACTACGGCTGAGTGAGACAGAGGGCGGCTGGCGTCTCAGGCAGTCCTCTTAAAGGGCCTGCACACAAACTTATTGCTGATGGACTCACTCACTCTGTGCTCCAGTGCTGGGGCAGCAGCTTGAAAAGTGCAAGGAACATATGGGGAGGGACTGTATTGTCTGGCTTCAGGTTGTGAGTTGGAGAAGCAGCTTTCTCCCTGACAGAAGTGCTGGCAGAGGCCATTGTTACTTTGTTGAACACTCTACCCACCCAACCACATAAGAGTCTCCATCAACCTAGCTAATACCATTCATCCCATACTAATCATTCCCTGAGATTGTCCCACACAACTTCTGGGCCTACCCAAGCTGATTCCAGTGGCTTTTCCATACAAATGTCTTTTCTTGGCTCATGCTGCAGACTTTCCTAAAGTCTCTCAAAAGTTCACAAAACCCAGACAAGCTGCACCTAGCCTCGATGTGCAGAGTACCTCTTGCTAAGCAGCCCCAAGCAGCAGTCAGCCTCAGTTCACTGCTTAGCCTCTCCCAGGCACCTTCAAGCCTAGCACAAGTGGCAGCTACCTGCACATTACGGTGTAGCTCATTCCAAGTGGTCCTGGGCAAGGTATGGGTAGTGGATGACTTGGCCTTCATCAAAGCCCCGCCCAAGAAGATCCAAAACCAACACACCTTGTGATCAGCTTCAGACCATATCAGAGCACCACCCAACTACCTCCACAAATGACACACCCAACTACCTCCAAAAAAATGACATACCCAAAGGGCAAACTCAGCAGGCACCAGAGCCCTGCTAAAGTGAATCCTGCTCAGTAAGGTCAGCCCTTGCACAGTAATAGCTCCTCTACTGTCATGGGCAGTCCTCACAACCAATTAGCCTGATGATCAATTCCTCACATTGACACGTTAACAGCAATCAAGGTTCAACTAAGACAGAGGGGCACAAACAACCCACACAAGGCACAGCCCTGATGCACCCAAATCAAGTGACCAAGGAGACTGTGCCACTGGGCCCCATAGGACACCTACTACATAAGGCCACTCTACCAAAACTGGGAGATGTGGGAAATGCACCAAATTCATATAAACAAACACAGGGAGGCTGCCAAAATGAGGAGACAAGGAAACATGTCCCAAGTGAAAGAAAAGAACAAAACTCTGAAAATGAAGAATAAACAAAATGCAGACAAGTTCTCTATCAGATGCAGAGTTCAAAACACTGGTTATAAGGATGCTCAATGAATTCAGTGAGAACTTTAAAAAAGAGATCAAAAATATAAAAATGGATATAGAAAACATAAAAAAGAATCAGTCATAAATGAAGAATATAATAACTGAAATGAAGAATACATTATAGGGAATTAACAGATTCAGTGAAGCAGAGGACTGAATCAGCAATTTGGAAGATAAAGCAGCAGAAAAACTCAATCAGAACAGCAAAAAGAAAAAAGAATCTAAAAAAAAAAAAATGAAGATAATTTCAGAGGCCTCTGGGACAATATCAAGCATACCAATATTCACATCACTGGGGTACTAGAAAGAGCAGAGAGAGAGCACAGAATTGAAAACCTATTTGAAAAAATAATGATGGAAAACTTCCCTAACCTGGCAAAGAAAATAGACATACAAACCCAGGAAGCACAGAGAGTCCCAAATGAGATGAACCCAAAGAGGCCCTAACAAAGACACATCATAATTAAAATGCCAAACGTTAAAGACAAAGGAAATTCTTAAAAGCAGCAAGAGAAAAGCAGTTAGGTTACCCAAAAGGGAGCTTCCACAACTGTCAGCTCATTTCTCAACAGAAATTCTAAAGACCAGAGGGACTGGAACAAAATAGTCAAAGTGATGAAAAGCAAGGACCTACAACCAAGATTACTTTACCCAGAAAGGCTCTCATTTAGAATCAAAGGACAGATAAAGAGCTTCTCAGTCAAGAAAAATCGAAAGGAGTTCAATATCACCAAACTAGTATTACAAGATATGTAATACTAGTATTACAAGGGGACTTAAAAAAAAAAAAAAAGATTAAAAATATAAGTAATAAAATGGCAATAAATAGGTATCTATCAATAACTTTGAATGTAAATGGATTAAATGATCCAATCAAAAGACATAGGGAGGTTGAGTAGATAAGAAAACAAGACCCTTTCATGTGCTGTCTACAAGAGACTCACTTCAGATGGAAAGACACACACACTGAAAGTAAAAGGATAAAAAAGTTATTTCATGAAAATGGAAATGGAAATGAAAAAAAAAATCTAAAGTAGAAATACTAGTATCAGACAAAACAGTCTTTAAAACACAGGATACAACAAAAGAAAGAAGAACCCAGTAATTCAAAAAGACACTGCAGCATTATTTACAATAGCCATGATATTTAAGCAACCTAAGTGTCCACTGACAGATAAATGAATAACGGAGAAGTGGTACAAGTATACAATAACATATTACTCAGCCGTAAAGAAGAATGAAATCTTGCTATCTGCCATGAATGGATGTGGAGTGTATTATCTTGGAGGAAGATTGAGGGGATGGGTAAAAGAGGAAAAAGGATTAAGATGTGCAAATTTCCAGCTATAAAAACAGTCACAGGATATAAAGTACAGCATAGGGAATACTGTCAATAATATTGTAATAACTATGTATGGTGTCAGATGAGTACTAGATTTATCAGGGTAATCACTTTGTAGGTTTTATAAATGTTTAATCACTAGGTTACACACCTAAAACTAATATATGTCAACTGTAATTAAAAATTTAAAAATTATGTAAATAAACAAAACTTCCACCTCTCTTACCATTATGAGCATACCTCATATTACTGCACTTTGCCTTACTGTGTTTCCCTAATGTTGCTTATTTACAAATTGAAGGCAAAACCCTCCACCAGCAAAAAGATTATGACTCACTTTACTGCAATACTCAATGAATAGTGGTGGTCTGGTACTGGACCTGCAATATCTCCAAGGTTGCCTGTATATTACTAACCTACCTATATTTATGTCCATATCTTCTGCCGGCCCACAGTTACCATGGATGAACTGTCCATGCTCTCACCTAAAGACAAACCCTGAACATCTTGCCAACCTCAAATCAGTGCTGGAGAAATTGCCTGCAATCTCCCCTACGTGATTAACTTTCCCTTTTTAATTGACAACATCTTTCCACAAGCAAACATGTTTTACTATTTCCTAGGGTTAAAAAATAAAAGAATACCAAAAAACCCTCTTCTTTAACCTTACATTTCTCTCTAGCTTTCTTCCCTTTCTTTACTTCCTTTATAACAGTGATTCTCAAGAGCTATCGATAGTTAATTCTACTGACTTTCCTTGTTCTCTCTTGAACGCATGTGAGACTTCTGCCCTAACCCTCCAGCCAAAGCAGTCCTTGTCAAAATTACTAACGTATCTCTATTTAGTCTTCATATGAATGTTTCCAAGCTCCATGGACCTTTCCTGTATCAATCCTAAATCCTGCTCTCATCAACTATTTTGATGTTTTAATGTTATTTCTCACAGTTTCCACTACTCCTAAGTTATTATATTTAATAGGGTTATAAGTTTCTTTTCTAAAGTTTTATACTTGTCCTACTTGATACAGATGGACCAATTAAACAAACTGAAATTTTGTTTAACAACAAGAAAATAATATAATACTACTCTTAACTCTTTCCCTCTCTTCTGAAATATGTCAGCTATGCCATTTGTCAGCTGTAAGAGGTCAAGTATGTTACTGTTTTGGAAAGAGAAACAAGAAAAATAACAGACAATTAATGTACTAAATGAGAGCTCCTTTTCTCCACCCCATCACTAAGCATAAATTATAAGTGCTTTCTCATCATACTTGATTTACCTAAAATACTTTTGAGTTTATGCTGTGACTTCCATTTTTCTTCTTCTTTTTTTTTTTTTTAATATGTTTTATTGATTTTAGAGAGAAAGGAAGGGAGAAAGACAGAAACATCAATGAGAAACATACTGGCTCCCTCCTGCATGCCCCCTACTGGGGCATGTGCCCTGACTGGGAACTGAACAGTTTATTGACTGAGCCACATCAGCTGGGCATTTTCTTCTTTTTTTTGAGAACTTTAAATCAAATTAATTAATTTATTTATTTATTTAATTGCTGAA